GGGCCTAAACCCGAACAGGATGCATCCGAAATCGCCGAATCTCCGAAGCTTGTACGCCGCACTGATGGTGCAGGCAACGGGTCCCCGGCCGGGAACACCTCGAAGGAAACGCACGATGAAGGCTCAGGTGCCACGTCCAAACCTTTCGCGGGAATGGCAGGAGCGGGCCTACTGGGTCTAGGGTTTGGAACTTGAAGTGGCAAGGATCTGGTCATTGGTTCGCTGGCACTGACGGATGCTGCTGACCTATCGTCTGGGTCAAGAGGCCGCTTCATGACTATCACAAACCTGCCACCTCCAAAAGTGCTACCCGGCGTGCCAGAGATGCGTAGTTACGGCGGCTCTCTTGAAGTGCACGCAAAAGCAGAATGTTAGCTCTACGCAATTGCCGGATGCTGCGCTGCAAGCCAATGATAAGAGCAATGTCGCGCTCCACAGCTTGCAAGCGATTCTCAAGCCTATTCAACCACGTTTGAACCTGCGAAAGATGATTAGAGTGCCCGGCTCGGCTGACTTCAAGTGCAAACACACGCTCTTCAAGATCAAAGATGTCTGGCGTCTGAGTGGAAGCTTCCATGCACCCCCACTGAAAGGAGCAGGCACGAGGACTTCTGAGAGCCCGGAGCGATCAAGCCATTCACCCCACTTGTGGGGGTGCCCGCTCCCCCCCCCCGGCACGAGGAGTTCTACAGAGCGAAGCAAGCGTGATGTACTGTTTACTGTCCTGTTGCCATGTGACATGAAATGAAGAGAGTTCGCAACTGTTGCAAACATATTGCGTGGACCGCACATGTCGGCTAAATGCAATTCGAAAAAACCGCCAGCAAGCACAACTAATACTGTGAGCCAAAATGTTCGCACACATAAACTATAAAACAGATGTGAACAAGTACACAAATCGGCTTCCATGCCAAGCTCTGGGCCTTTGACAGACACGGCTTCTCGAGCCTTGCTCTGAGCCGTCCAGGCGTTGTGCATGGCCTCTTTCTTCCGGGCGAAGGCCACCTCAGAGAACGGTTCGTCCCCGCCCTCGTGTTCGATGATCTTCTCGGCCACGGCCGTGTCTTCGTATTCTTCGAAATCGAAGACACCCTCTTCCCCGACGAGCCGCCAGACGCCTTTCTGCTTGATGCCTTTGATCTCGAGCTCAACTTCCTGGTTGCCGGATTAAGGTTGATTCATAAGGCTTTGGGTTAAGGGTTTATACTCATGGGTACGGCCTTGGCTTGAGGGTTTAGGGTTTTGTTGCTACTAGGGTTTTAAGGCTTCAACTTTAAAGTTTAATGCTCCAGGGTCCTTGCTGGCGTCCCACACACCGTGTTTGGCCTCGCTCCAAGCGGACGACAAAACGAATTGTCGTTTTGGGGCTACAAGCCGGCCGCCCACACGACGATCGACTGCAAGCTCGCGCTTGACTGCCAAAAGTTGTTCTTTGCTTTTCAGCTTTGCTCGTTGAGGGTCTTCGTTGTGCTGCTTGATCCAGTCCTGAGGAAGTCATTCGACAACAAAACTAGAGTAAGAAAAGAAGCGGCAAACCACATGCACGATGCCTCGCACTCTTGACTCTTGACTGGCGGTCCCATACTGAGGCTGTGTCTTTTAACGACGCCAAAAAGGACTTGTGCTCATGCTGGTTTTGCCGATCCGAGATGAACTCGTAGTACTTGGCGTAGGTACCGAACTTGGCATGAAGACCTGCCAGGGAATGTTGTCTTCCGTGCAAGCACCACAATAATCGTCATTATGCAGACTTCATTGACTCGTGTGACGACACAATGCGTGAGTGATATGTCAGTTCGTTCTCCGACTTAGTCCACTTGGACACTTTGAGGTTTTTACCCGGCTAAAAGCCGTTGCATGGTTGCGGGCCTTGGGCCAGGCTGGCAACATGCCTGCTTTCCCCTCATCCTGCCAATTCCCTCCCCCACGTGCGAGCTTTAAATGACCAAAGCCAAAGACTCCCACACAGCGCACACAGCACTCATGACAAGACATGACATGACATGATGACTCATGATGACAAGCAAGCAACTTCAATTTTCAATCTCTGTGACAAAGCACAGAGGGCCTCCCCATCGCCAGCCAACGCACCCTGAACATTATGCCTCTATTATGTCCGGCTAAGCCCCCTTTCGGAGAACTTGCCAGGCAGGTCGAGGCTTTTCCCAGGGGTCGGTGCCAGTGGACGCATTAGGCGCATGTGCCCCACTGTCATACCTGCGAGCCTAGATCATAAAGATCATCGGCTGCACAAGCGTGGCCTTAACACCGCGGGACAGGTACCACGCCTGCACCCGGCCAACGGTACATGTTGAATTTCCACACCCCCCTCAGGGGCTCCTTTCAACTGGGTAAGCATAGCCCTGCCCATGGCGTTTGGAATTTGACCAAATGCAGCAAGTTCTGTTATCATGGCAAACGGCAACGGCAACGCCATCCACTGCCAAGCTGCGCCATGCACACATGCAGCACATGCATTGCTGCATTCTTGCCAACACGCAGCAATCGGCAAACAACTGCTCAGCCCACGGCCCACGCAATGGACAGATGCAGGAACTCCAAGGCGGCGTATTGCCAAAACACAGAACAGAACCGAACATGACAAGGACAAGGACCAGGACACGACACAGGACCAATCAAGCCACGCACAACCGCCATTGGCAACACGCCTTCCAGTCAAAATGGACAGATGCGGGTCACGCCCCACTGCCAAATGCACCTTCCTTTGTCCACGAAGTCTTTCCCAGAACCCAGCAGGCGCATTAGCGCATTGCCCTGCTGTCGTCTGCTCCCAAGGCTGGAGCATGTTGGCCAAAAGTTCTGTCAGACAACATGGTAGGAAGCTGAGCTCCAAACCCGGCCAACGGTTTGGAGGCAAGCCTGATGTTTTTTTTTTGATTGCCTTGCAGGCTTGCCTCTTGGTAGAGCCAAGACTGAAACAAAGAATCAAGAAGCAGCAGCGCCAATCCAAGGGCAACAAGGCCAAAGGCCGAAGCACTCCGACAAACGCACAAACACAACACACACAACAAGGCCACAGGCCAAAGATCAAGAAGGAATCCAAGAAGCGAGCATATTTTGCCCTGCGCATAAACACAAAAACCGACTGCCCCCTTCACGTGAACGTGAAGCACCAACCTACACCCACGTTACCGGTTCTGACGCAAAGCAGCCAAGCTGCCAAACAACAAAAGGGACAAATTAACCCACATGGCAACAACTTGAACTCCTCCACTGGCATGAGTAACACCCCAGGTTCACCAACCAAGCAGGTGGCTCCCAGCCTCAAATCGCTTGGGCGCCGGCCTTTTCTCAATTGGATTGATGCAAACGCGGCCATGCCGCAAAAGACAAAAGCCGCCAAGCCTACTTTGAAACGTCGTGACAGTCTTTTTGACCTAAGCATCAGATAATAAGTTTAATTAAGTGTACGCCCAAACTTTTAACTATCTTGCAAGCCACCAAAGGCACAAGCCCCAAAGCCCACCCGTTCTTGCCCCCCCCCCTCTGCCCCCCCCCTTCCCCCCCCCCCCCCCCCCCCCCCCCCCCCCCCCCCCCCCCCCCCCCCCCCCCCCCCCCCCCCCCCCCCCCCCCCCCCCCCCCCCGCCCTTCCCCCCCCCCCCCCCCCCCCCCCCCCCCCGCCCCCCCCCCCCCCCCCCCCCCCCCCCCCCCCCCCCCCCCCCCCCCCCCCCCCCCCCCCCCCCCCCCCCCCCCCTTCCCCCCCCCCCCCCCCCCCCCCCCCCCCCCCCCCCCCCCCCCCCCCCCCCCCCCCCCCCCCCCCCCCCCCCCCCCTCCCCCCACCCCCCCCCCCCCCCCCCCCCCCCCCCCCCCCCCCCCCCCCCCCCCCCCCCCCCCCCCCCCCCCCCCCCCCCCCCCCCCCCCCCCCCCACCCCCCCACCCCCCCCCACCCCCACACCCCCCCCCTAACCCCCGGTGCCACAGAGATATCTTTCTTCCTTCCGTTTCTAGTGGGGTACCCCCCTGCGGTAGCGCTCGCGATTTTTTTTTTTTGCTTTTTTGTGTGAGTGACAACAACTCTCTCCCGTCCTCTCTCTCTCTCTCTCTGGTACCCTCCAGGCCCGGCCTAGTAGGCGAAACACGTTGATGCAGGGCCCACAACACCTTCCTTCAGGCACTCGCAGAGCCTCTCCATCAGCGATGATCCTTCTGTACTTGGCCCAAGGCCGCTTGCGCAGCTCAGCGGCCTCTAGCAGAACATGATCGACCTGGTTATCCCCTTCACCCACAAGGGGACTGGGATCGGTGCTAGTGCAGCCACACAAGCAGCACCTGCACGGCTTGGAGTGCGCAAAGCTGACTGCAAGACCCAGCAGTCCCTTGAAGCTGGGCACTGGGCACGCTGGAGCTTGGTGCTGCCACAGACTTTTCCGTTTCCGACTCAGCGTCAGACTGCTCCAGCAGCGTCTCCAGCTGCTGGGCTTCTTCGGACGGGTGTTCTTCCCCTGCTTCCATTGGCACTAACCGAGCAATCACAGCGACTCAAAACAAATCTTGGGCCGATCCAGAACAATTCCAGAGAATGTGCGAACAAATTAACTATTGACCAAACTATTAACCAAACTTTTGAAACAATTATCAAAACAATTATCAAAACAATTGTCAATAGAAATCTCGGCCCAGATAAGCAGAGATCTCTGCTTATCTTTTTATTGTTTTATATAAACTTAAAGCAGCTAACAAAAAAGATAAGCAGAGAAACGAAAAAGATAAGCGGAGATTTTTATTAGCAATAGTTTGTGTAATAGTTTGAACAATTGTTTTAATAATAGTTTAATAATAACAATATTTGTTAAAAATAGTTTGGAATAATAATACCACAGAGATTTCCTCTTCAGATATTATTGCAATATTGTTTTAGCTGCACCTACCAGACTAGACTCTGAGCCACGGTCTCCTGGTCCTTGGGAAGCAACATCATACCAGCATGCAGCCTGCAGCAAGCACTTCAGCTCCACACAAGCAAAAAAACTTTTTTGCCTTCATGCCCCCACGCGCTTGTCAAGCTCCTCTTCGGGAAGGCCTGTGGCAAAGTGGTTCAACCTTGGGCCGCCTTTGGCAAGGTGCAAAGACCTGGCTTTACTGCCCCCCATGCTGGCTTCATCCAACCCGGCTACAAGCCAGCGCTTCAAGCGAAGCTTGCATTCCGCCTCAGTCAGGTTCTGCACAGGAAGCACCTTTCTGCACACCACGCCAGTCTTGTCGTCTGAGTTGTGATGCATGCCGCAGGTTGCGACCCAACCGTCTCCAAAAAACTTGGATGTGTGCCGCCCAATTGTAAAACAGCCCCAAGTTGTGGCGCGATGTTGGACCGTTCCTCTTTGGGTGGCAGGATCCCGGCTTGAAGCCGCTGCGTTGCCTGCTGGCTCTGGGGCTGCAACCTCTTCGCAGCCGCTTCCAAGCCAAACCTCGGCTTCGTCAACTGCCAAGCTTGCTGCCGTGGCCGCCTTGGCCTTGGCCTTTTCAGCTCCAAAGTCTTCCGCGTGAGAAGACTCCGAATCCGAGAGAAATGGAATGATTCCCTGGAGCTTCTTCTCCTGTTGCAAAGAGTTTTGTGCTTGTGTCTTGGGTCTCTGGGCCGGGCCTTGGCCAGGCTTTTTTGCACTTGTGCGTTTAGGCTGCTCAGCCGGGTGTGCCAAAGCGAATGCAGCCAAAGCCGCGTTGGCTTCCATTTGTTCACGCGATCGCCTCGAATCCAGGTACTCATCTTCGTCAATTGCTGACTCACCAATAACATCAAAGCGGCTTAGCAACTGAACCCGCCCAAGCCTGGCAATCCGCATCTCCCAATCTTGCGCCTCTGTGGCCATTTTTGCCAAGAGCATGCTTTCGCTTAAAATGTCAAGCTGTCCCCTGAACCTGCCCAAAGGGCTAGCGTGCAAGCTGGCCAAAATGCCATCTGCCATCAGTTCTGGGGACTCTTCTCTATGGAGAACCAAAAGAGCCGCTTGATGTGGAGCCCGCAACGTGTGGAACATCACGGCCACATCGTGAATTCTTCGGGTGCTTGGCGAATGAAACGACACAACCAAAGGTTCAGACCCTGTGGCCTTGAGGCTTGGAGCCTGCTTCAGAATCACTTTCCAGAACAAGTCCAAAAGACGGCTCATGGTGGGCCTGCTTGCCTCAGGTAGGCAATGCTCACACGCATCGACCGGGCAGGGGGCAAGCAAAGGCCACTGCGGGTCTGGCTCACCAGACATGCTGTCAGCACCTTCAGGTTGCAGCACATTGTGTGCCTTCCGAAATGCAGTACCAACCTTGGTGGCCTCGTGGCACTTGTCTGCAATGAGATGCCTAGCCAAAGGAAAGCCGTGGCTCGAGGCAGCGTTCCAAGGCCCACCGGTCTGCTCGGGAACTTGGCTTGAAGCCGCGTCATCCACGGAATCCAAGTTCTGAGCCCGGGCCAAAGCGCCCCAATGCTTTTTTGGTCTCTGGACAGCTTAGACCACTCCGTCTTCGTGGCTGCAGCCATCTCTGCTAGCGACAAAGCCTGCAAAGCTGGATTGCGAGCGATCAAATCTTGCTGAAATAAGTTCCAGCCATTGACAACTGTGTTGGCTGGCATCACCCATGCAGGTCGCCTGTTGTGCTTGTTCCTGCCTTTAACTTTCAGGGTGTTCAGGCGCCACAAAGAAACGCATTGCTCAAACTGGTGGTTGCAATGCTTGGCACACACACTGGATAGCTTTGGTTTGGGGCCTTTGCGAGGAGTGCTCCATTCACTCAAGCGTGCAAACATGCGCTCGATAAAGGTTGATGTTGGCACCACCCGGTTAAAAACCTCCTCCAAAAAATTCAAAACATCAACTTGGGCTAACCCCTCAGGATCGGCTGTCCTTTCATTCAGTTTTCTGGAGAAACCATCCAGGCAGCAATGCGGAACATCAAACAGTTTTTTTGCGCAGCTTTCTTTGTTCGCTGCCGTTTCTGCTGGGTCTACCAAAACAGCCAGCTTCCATGGAAATTGTGACCATGGATACAACAGCTTGCGCCACAACTGTCCAATGACAACACAAAAGCTCCGCCTGGTGGTTCTCAACCTGGTCTGTGGCCATGACAAAACCGGGCCAAAGGCCAAAACAGCAGGGCCCCAGGAATCATCTTCCAAGTTTAGCAACAAGACACCCAAATTTTCCAAAGCTTTCTTGGCAGGGTTTTCGGCTGCTTTGCAAAAACAAACAGTCGTGAACGCATCAAGTGCATCCGCTGCCTGTGCCTCCAGGTCCTGTTTCCTGTGGGTGTGCCAGGTCGCATGCTTGAAAAGCGAATAGTGAATTCTCATCACAGGCGCACTGAGTACCATCCAAACACACGTGGACCATCTAGCCGTTTCATCCTGCAAGAAAAAACCTGCCTTGCAAAGGCGCAGCTTGGCAAGCTTTCTCCAAACCTTGGTCTCGTTGACAGGTGCACCCACTTGCTCGCCTTCGTCCTCTGAAGAAACCTGGTCTGCGACCATGCCAGCAGTCTGGAATGCTGCCTCAAAGGCTTTCGGCGCAAGCTGGCAAAAGTTTTGCAGCAAGGACACGTGACGCACGCAGGGAGCTACTTTGGTCCACTTGTTGAGAGCAGGAACTGCAATGGGTTTTAGCATGACCCGCTCTAAGAGCTGCATTGCTGTGTCAACCGCCTCTTCCCGGTCCTTGCAGCAATCAGGCGGACCGGCACAAACGTGGACTGGCGGTCCTGCGAGGCGAACAAATGCTTGGTAGTTGAAAAGGCAGAAAAGGCAGGAGCAAGAGTAAGGTAGGATCAATATAAGGGCTGGTGCGCAAAGCTTCTGGCTAGGGGCTGGGAGCTGCTTGGGTATCCAACATGTCACACTAGCCTCATACTATCTATCTATATATCTGCCTATCTACGACTCATTCATTTTCTATCCATCTATGTATCATCCAATCGTCTACATCCATCTAAATCATCCATATTCAATATCTATACCTATCTCTCGGCAAAGTCTGGGGACACGGCTTTCCAAGGTTGGCTTCAAGCTTGTCGGGATTGCATAGCGGAGCATGCTCAATGATCTGTGCATATGAACACGCAGACGTCGGCACATTTCCTGACTTTGCCTGATACAATCAGAGCTTGCTAGAATCTACCAAAACAGTAGCAACCATTACCACAACATCAGGAGTACATACTGCATACTAGATCTAAGAAATCGAAGGAGCCAACACATCATACCGGACTGGTGGCCTGCCGCAGCGGTTCTTTTGCGTTGCCCCACAGCCAAGGCGGTGCAACGAGGCCTAAGGCCCAAGGCCAACGGGCTAAAGTACAGGCCAAAGGCCGACGACGCAGAACAACTTACTGTGTATCCTGAATCAATTGAAACGATGCCAAAAGCCAAGGCAGGCGATGCATAAAACGATGTGGTTCTATTCTGCGTCGCGACCCGGCCAAAGGCTAGCCACAAAAAAGGTTTGCGTTGCGGCTAAGCAACTCTCGTCTCTCGTATTATGGGTTGCTAATCTCAGCTTGCCTGCAATCACACATCAAGTTTTGATGCTTTTTGCAATGATGACCATCATCAACAGAATGTCAACATGCCGCTAATATGCCACTAGACTATGACTCTGCAGCAGGCAAGTGAGACTGCAACCCGGCCACAGGCCGCAGCTTCAGCTGGAGCTTAGGGCTTAAGGCGGGCAACGATCACAGCCGATGAAAAACTGCGTCTCAAACTTCTCCAGTCAAGACTTTAGCTGCAATCTGGCCAAAGGCCGGCCCTAATAACTAGTAACTAATAAGCTCCAGATGGCACTGCAACCTGGCCAAAGGCCAAAGACCGCCGCTCAGACATAGCCCTGTCCCCGCTTGCGCGGGTTTTCCAAAAGTTCGCGTCCACCCCATGTTGTTTTGAGGTAGCTTGCGCATTCGATGTTGTTGCCAAGAGCCATGTCCACGACTCCTTGTCCTTTTTTTCCACCTGGCGAGTTCAGGCAAGCCCCGACCATGTGGAAAGCCGCGGTCGATCTTTCGCCCCCGTACTCGGACGATCCGCCCAATTTGTGGTAGAGAGACCAGCAAATCTTCTTGATAAAGCTGAGCTGCCCCCTTGACGCCGCTATGTGCAGCGCGGTACTGCCACTTGCGGCACGGGTCCTCGGCTGAGCTTTGTCAAGTTGCGTGTGCAAAGACTAGTTACCCAAGCTTTAGGTTCCAGGTTTTCAAGGAGGAACGATTTTGGCATTCAGGGATTGAACAAGTAGTCTAATAAAATCTATAAACTACCGACTTGACTTATAAGCCGCCTCTTAGTTCCCTTGTGATTATTCAAGAAAGACATAGAACTCCTAACTCCTAAGTCGTTGTGTCAAGTGTGTGACAGTGTGTGTGTGTAGTGTGTGTGTGTGTGTTCTTGGCCTGATATAAAAAAGCCTGTCGGAACTCTGGAAGAAAACCTGAATTCTAACATTCTAAACATGTAATACCAAAAAAGCTGTCCCCATTGGCACCGGCATGTCTTCCAACATGTCATTGCCATTTTGGTCGCTTCACTGTACACTGCCACAAGGTCAGAAGTTTAGAGACTCGCTACGAAGCTCATCGTGAATCGTGAGAACTGACTACAGACGCCTCAGGACCGGATCTCAGCTGCCACCTTGCCTTAATGTGCGATGACCTGGCATTCGACACTGACAATGCTAGCCTCTTCTCCATCTGTGCGGCCGGCCATGTCATAGAAACACATCACATCAGAGTCAGCCTGTAGCAAGCCAGGCAGGCCATGCTGGAGAGGCAATCCAGCATGGCCTGCCGGCTTGCTACAGGCTGGCCACTGGGCTTCAGTCCATAGGTTCTCCAGGATCGAAATTTCGGTTCCCGAGGCCAGGGTTTTCCGCATAATAGCCGCCACCATGGACCACAGCTCATAGAGTAGCTTGCGGGTGGAGACAAAGCCATGACGGTTGACCCTATTCTAAGAGTCTTAGAATAGGGTCAACCGTCATGGCTCTGCAGACGACGTGGGCAACGGGGCCAAAGGCCATGTTGGCATAGCTGCCGGTGCTTGCCCAACCTTCTCAGACCGGCATCAATTCCAACCAGGTGTTTCCAATGGAAACGACACCTGGTTGGATTGACGCCTGTCTGAGATGTCTTGCCAAACCCGGCCCAAGGCCCAACCAAGCCACTTCTCAGCCTTCTGAACTCTGACGAGAGTTCTCTGCTTTGGCAACATTAGTCTAATGTCATCAGACCACGCCATTGCCAGGAGCATTGCAGCACAGCACAGTGGTCACCATAACAGCGTAGGCACCTTGAGCCTGCAAAGAATTTAGAAGCCGAAATCTGAAGGCTCTTTCAAACCCTCCCTTTGTTTCCTGTTTCCTCAGCAGGAAGCTACTGAACATTGAAGACTGCAAGAAGCTCAAACTTTAAACAGGCCAAAGCTCTGAATGCCAGTAGCGCTCATGTGCTGGAGCAGCGTGCAAAGCATGCTGTACGCGTATTCAATGCCACCCAATTGTCCAGGAGGACTGTCCACGAGCACCATGAGAGGCGTCCAATTGGGCGGCATACCGGATGGAAGTGTTGCCACATCCGCCAATGAAGGGGCTTTCGACCTGGGTTGTATCAAAAGGACCGGAAACCACAAGCATAAAAAGGTTGCCGACATTCTACAAACTAAAACTAGAACTGCGAGGAAAAAATCTCCCAAAGTGCTGTCTAACGGCAACACCCACTCCAAACCTGGCTTTAAGCCTGTGCGCACCAAATGATGAGCAAGGCTCATGCCTTGGTGATCGCGCAGGGTAGCCAGCTCTGAGACCGGCAGCTCGTTGCACAGGAGGTGCCTCAGCCTCGAAAAGTCACGGTTGTACATGACCTCGAAAACTTCCTTCTTGCGCTGGTCTGCCTCAGCCTGGTTCGTGACCTTTGTGAGTCGCGTCAGTAGCGTCTGTTGCTGGACCTTTTGTGTCTCCAACAACTCAAACAGCCTGGCTAACGTCTCAGCTGACTCCGGATCCTGGCCCTCGTCCTTCTCGCCAGCCTTCTGTAGTCGGTTGACAGCCTGAACCAGATTTTCGACGGCAGCGGCGGCTGTCATGTTGGGGTCGACGAACACCTGGCCAGAGGCCGCTGCCATGGACTTATCATCCGCAGCTGGCTCGGGCTTGGTCTCTTCCTCGCCTTCAGAAGGCACCGGGCCTCAGATTGCTGTGTAGGAAAAGAAGCAAAAAGCAAATGGCAAAAGGGCCAACCAAGCAAGTCGCATAACCCCCACTTAGTACTAAGTACTAGGAAATTAAGGTCAGTTTTTAAAAACTCAAAAAAAAACATCATGACGGGCAGCTTGTAGGTGGGTGCTCTTCCTCTTCCTCCATAGCCTCAGCTTCTCCTTTGCCGGCTTGGTCTGACTCTTGCTGCTCCATATCCGTATCGCCACCATAGTCAGCCGCCTCCTCCTCGATCTTCACATTCTGCTCCTCCACCGGCTCGTCCTCAACCTCGACCTCAACTTCGACTTCCTCGTCAAGCTCGTCCGGGCTGGCGGTGAAAGCCATGAGCTGACGATTCAAGTCTCCAAGGTCTTTCACTACCCCTTGCAGCCGAACGAAGTCTTCGGAGGTCCACCTTGGCGAGGCAACTGGGCTTTCCGGGTTGCGATCCTGCCACATCTTCGTACTCGCAGACTGTTGGCTTTTGTCCACCATGTAATACTCGTCGTCCTCTGCCTCGGACGACACTGGCAAAGAGGCTGGCAGAGCACCGGCGTCCGGATCTTCAGTGCCATCAGATGCCGAAGACTGGGGTCGGGAACCTGGCGCAACGCCACTGGCCGAAGCAGCTCCTGGGAGTGTTGCACGCTTGGGAGCATCGGACTCAAAGTCTGTGAGGCCTTTGCCGCCAACCATGCTCACAATATCGTAGGAGTCGTCAGTGGTGAAGCCAAATTCCGTCCCCGTCTCACCCGAATCGCTGAACCTCCATGCCTTAACCCGCCCACCTGCCGGCATGGCCTTCGTTTTGATGGCGGCGGGAGCTCTGGCTTTTGGCCTGGTGGCCTCAATCTGCTGTGAGCGGGCTTCCAACAGATCTCGGACTTCTTTAACCTGGCCTGTGGCCCTGACCATCGAAACTGGCAGAGACGGGAGGCTCGGCCGGATGTGGTTGCGAGTCTCGAAACCCAGCTCCAAAGCCATTTTCCTCAACGTCAAAGGTGTCATGAGATCCTCGGTGGAGCACAGGGCACAGACTCACTGAACACGCAACATTGATACATTATATCATTATAGTGAACACTCAAGCCCAACCTAAAAGTCTAAAATTGAA